TAGCAAAAAATACCTTTGAAAAAATGAAGGCAAAAAGATACAAAAGCCTAAAGGATCAATCACCAGCAGCCTGCATTACAAGAAAAGTTAGCGGTCACCCTTCTGGCAGAAAGATGATACCAGAAGGTGGTATTCATCTACACAAAAGAAGGCAGAGCACCGGATGACAGCCTGCAATTTGTGATAACATGGATGGACCCAGAGGTGTTGTGTCAAGTGAAGTGAATCAGATGGAGAAAGACAAATAAAATACTGTACAATTTCACTAGTATGTGGAACATAAACAACAGCAAAACAAATAACTAGTATGTGGAATATAAACAACAGCAAAACAAACAAAATAAAGCAAAAGGTAACTCTCAGATACAGAGAACATACTGCAAGTTACCAGGAGGAAAGACAGGAAGGGGGAGAGTAAAGTAGAAAAAGGGGATCAATTCTATGGCGACAGAGAAACTAGTTTTTGGGAATGAACATATGGTAGTTCATAAAGATGTTGAATTATAATATACTTGAAATTTATATATTATTATGAATCAACATTATCTCAATTTAAAAAAGAATAAAGAGAATTTGAAAGTGTAAATGGGTAACTATATGGGTAAAAATAAACTGTTTCTTGTTATTTAAATCTCTTTATCAGATAATTGACTACTGAGAGAAAAATGACAACAATATATTGTGGAATTTATATCTTGTGTTGATGTAAGATGTATGATAATAGTATCATAAAGACTGGGAGAGAAGACATGGAATAATATTATTGAAAGTTCTAAACTATAACTGAAATGGAATAATATCACTTGAAGATCAACTGTGAAAATATAGATATGGTAGGTCTAGATCTACAAGATATAGGTGACTGTAACTCATTATACATCACATATTTGATATATGAGATGTAGCAATAGGTATTTTATACATTTATATATATATATATATGACATCTGTGGTTCATATAATGATCTAAGCCCATTATATCATTACTATGAATAGTGATGATATGAATAACTATGAAAATAACAAAAGAAATAATTGTAGAAAACAAAGCAACGAAGGAGATAAAAAGAAGACATCAAACTTATAAATATCAGCAAAAGGGAAATATGAATGGATACAAAACCTGAATATCATCACACAGGCTGAGCTAAGTCTTAAACACTAACAAAAATATTTATTGACATGAAACTTCTTAATGGTGATAATTTTTGAATTGTGTGAAAATGGTAGGAGAAGAAATTATGACAGTGTGATGAATTTCAGACAATCAGATTTGGTCTAAAACAAATATTCTAGCTTCTTAGTCAAAGTCAGCCAAGCTTTCTCTCTTCTCACTAACATTTTAAACAATCATTTTTGGCATGAAATTAGATTTAAGAAAACTAAAGCCTCCACAATTTATCATTTGTTATACTTGACAGTTCAGTTGTTTTATTTATTCTTTTATGAGATTAAATTTCCTGTGATAGTGTGCCTCTGTATTCATTTACTTTTACAAACCCCAAATGCAAATTTGTGGAAAAGCATCATTTTAACAGCCTCCACTCTGTAGTGCATAAATCACAGCAGAGCTTAAAAGACATGCCAATTTAGGAAACAAAGGTGCTTTTGTGTTTAGGTTACATTCCCAGCATGATCTAATGCTAATACTTGTTTGCATTTATATGCAATTTCTTGATGTTTGTGGGGTAGGTTTTTATAGAATAAAGCAGAAAGGTTTTGTTTCACCTTGGCTTCAAGAGAGAAAGAAATGACAAAACCCAATTGGTAGTCAAACTGCAAATTCCTCTGAAATTCACACTCTGCGCAAGTGAGAAAAATCCTGTGATTTAAGCTACATTTTATTCTTTCCTGTTCCCCCAGCAAAGATATTCAGAAACCAATGACTTTACTCTGCCTGATCTCAAAGGCAGCTCAAGTGTTTGCCTCAAAATTATAAGAAATTATTCAACTCTCTTGTTTTCCTGGTGATGGGAAACTAAATTATCCACTTAGGTAGTCACCCATGCCCTCCTTTTCTCTCTGGACTAGTTCCTGAGCCATTTTGATATGGTATGGTTATGGATATGAATATTCTAGAATTGGGTGTTCTGACATGTGAAATGTCAGAAATTTACTCACGGTGGAGAAGTAACCCCAGCCACTACAGTAGCTGGGTAAACCATGACCATTATTGCTGGCGGTGTGCCAGCCAGGCCAGGGGAGAGAACGAGTTGGGAGAAGACACACAGGAAGGTCTGTGTCAATTACTGGTCTTCTCATTTGAAATCCAGGTGCCATTCTTACAGACTATTGAATGGAGTTATTACTTTGGTTCAGGTTTTGTTGTTGCTGTTGTGAAAATGACAGATTCCGTAGTGATCTCTGGATTTCATGGAGATGAGATTTGAGTTCTGGAATGAACTCACATGTTTTCTAGTGAACTCTGCCAGTGGATGGTTGACTATGTCCTCCGCTCACTGCCAAACCTGCAAAATCATTTCATTTAACACAAAACTAAGTCAAAGCCACCACCATTTTACAGAGGAAGAAACCGAATCCAGAAAGAGGAGAGGGCATCACGCAGCTAATAGGGACACGGAAATCTCTTGCTTATTATCCTTACCACTGTTACGAAGGACCGTAATGTCATCAGTTACACACAGTTTGTCCAGACTGAACTGCGAGGCATTGCTCAGGGACAGCTGCGGAGGTACCAGGGGCTCCTTCTCCACCTAGTACTCTTGCTTCCATCTTGTTCTTGCCTTGTTAATTACTAGTTTGCCTGTTGCCACATCAGACCGGACTTAACAGGCTGGTGTGCAAGTGAAAGGTGCACGCATGCCTGAGTCAGTCCGCCAGCACCCTCATTAGCTTTGCAACTTTGCGCGCGTTTGTGTACCGGCTTTTCCACCCTGATACAGTGGCGACGAGCAGTTCTATGAGGTGAGGCTGATGAGGCGGGTGCCAGGGACACAGAGGATGCTCAGTAAATGTCCGGTGTCTCTGGGGACTGACTTGTATCTTGCTGGCCCCTGGGTTGTCCCTGCTCTTGGTACCTAGTAAGAGCTAGGGGAAATCTGTTGCTGCAACGAAGGCAGTACCAGCGAAAGAAATTTTTTTACCTTTGTCAGTTTCTAGGGGTATTTGAAGTAGAGCAGTCATCTTTCCCAGCTTTTGGCAGCCCTAGATCGGGAAGAGCGAGTCAGGGTGAGAGTACGGAGTGGATTCTGGAGCTCTAGCAGGAGAGATCGTACCTGCGAGGGCTCAGCCAGGAATCCGGGACCCGCAGCTGCCTGTAGAGGGCGCCCCCGGCTCGCCGAGAGCGAAGAGCTGAGGCTGGGACTCGCAGGTCGCGGGGCACCGGCTGCAGTCCCGCGATGACCGCCACCCGGTACCCGGCGGAGCGCTGAGTGAGTGCATTCGGAGCCTAGCCTCTGCACGGAGCCGGGCGCGCCTTTGCACGGAGGCTTTCCCAGGAGCGGTAAGTACAGGCGGAGGGAGGTGGTGGTGGTGGAGGGGGGAGCACGTCTCATTCTTGTTTGCGGGCACTTGGAGGCAGTGCAAGTCTGACCCGGTCGGGCTGGTTGTTGGTGTGCGTGGACGAGTGGGCAGGGTTCCTGCTAGCATGGGCTTGGGGTCCACCTGGAGGAGCACAAGCAGTCTGGCAGAGCTTTGCATTCGGGGAACTCCAGTTTACTTTGAGGTTCTAACACTAAGATTTTTTCCGCCGTCTCCATCGCGTGCATTCCGGGGAGCTGGGGGGGTCTCGAGGCTGATAGGGTACCCCCGAGAGGACGATCGCTCACCTTAGCAAACTACCCCCCTCCACCACCACCGCTTTAGCCCATCAAGGGGAACCACGTGCGGCAACTCTGCCTGTTAAGCAAAGCCCGCCTCCAGGGCAGGGGAGGGGAATTGGGGGCGGGATGGGCTGTGCCCCGCGGGAACCCGGGCGGCCCGGGAGCCCGCGGGTGCCAACTCGGTTTTCTCTGCTTCACGCTCCCACGGGCTCCCTAGGAGGTAGTGAGTGCCGCAGGGAGACGCAGGGCCCTGCCCGGAGGAACCAGAGGTCTCTTGAGGACCGTCCGGGTGCTCGGCTCTGATGAAAGGAAGCAAAGAATACAAGCTGCCCAAGTGACTAACCCTGGAAGTCCCTCTCCCAAGGAAGCTGTGAGCGTCCAGGAATCCTTTTCCCATGTTTCGACCACTTTGAATAATCTGGTTGTTCACGGCAGTGGAACAACGTCTTTGGGGCCGGGCCCAGGATTCTTTATCCAAACCCTACCGGACGATTTATGCGAATCCGGAGCCCTTGCAGGGGCCTGGCAGCACTCAGGCGCGCCTCCAGGGCTTTGTGGAGCTGGGACATTCCTCAAAGCCCACTTCCAGAGCTCCAGGGGCTTTGGAAGACAGAACTACCCCAAGGCAAGGTAGGTGGCCCAGACAAAGCTGGATCCGGGATGCCAGGAGTAATGGTGCAATCTGCTCGAGTCTTGGTGAACGACCTTTGCTTTCTCTTTGCTTCTTAGGGCTTCTGGAGAGCTGCTACCCAGTCGGGGCTTGGAGGAAGAAGGCATGCCTTTTCAGTTGCATCTCAGAAGGGGAGCATTCTTTCTCATCACCAGAAAGGCAACAAACCTGAAATGTGACTCCCATCCCAGTAGCTGGGCAAAGGTCTGGGAGTCTCTGGATTGATAGTTTAGAATATGCTAAAAAGCCAGTATCTTCCTTGGGGAATTGAAGGACCAGCTGCTTGCTGTGACAGTGACCTGGAGCAAAGAAATCAGGGGACAGGTATAAAGGACGAGAGGGACATTTCCTAAGGTCTGAGTTGGATTGCCACGGGCAAGCTCCTGCCAGGCAATTGTTGTCCTCTGATGAATGCTGCTGAAACCCCCCCACCCCCAATCCCTGGGGCTGCTTAGAAAGTGAGGACTCCTGCAGTTCTGACTGATTTCCAGTGCCTGCCCAGGAACTTGAGGGGGTGTCAGACCCCCTATGCTCTCTTCTTCAGGAAGATGGAGACTCTGAACACCTCCACCATGGCTGGTGCTGGGATGGTGGTGGAGAGGGACTTCTCCTTCCGCATCCTCACAGCCTGCTTCCTGTCACTGCTCATCCTGTCCACACTCCTGGGGAACACACTGGTCTGTGCCGCGGTCATCAGATTCCGACACCTGCGCTCCAAGGTGACCAACTTCTTTGTCATCTCCTTGGCGGTATCGGATCTTTTGGTGGCTGTTTTGGTGATGCCCTGGAAAGCGGTGGCTGAGATCGCTGGCTTCTGGCCCTTTGGGTCCTTCTGTAACATCTGGGTGGCTTTTGACATCATGTGCTCTACCGCGTCCATCCTTAACCTCTGTGTGATCAGCGTGGACAGGTATTGGGCCATCTCAAGTCCCTTCCGGTACGAGAGAAAAATGACCCCCAAAGCAGCCTTCATTCTGATCAGTGTGGCTTGGACCTTGTCAGTACTCATCTCGTTCATTCCGGTGCAGCTCAGTTGGCACAAGGCAAAACCCACTAGCCCCTCAAATGGGAATGAGACTTCCCTGGGCGAGACCACAGACAATTGTGACTCCAGCTTGAGCAGGACATATGCCATTTCATCCTCCCTAATTAGCTTTTATATCCCCGTGGCCATCATGATTGTCACTTACACCAGGATCTATAGGATCGCCCAGAAGCAAATCCGGCGCATCTCAGCCTTGGAGAGGGCAGCAGTCCATGCCAAAAATTGTCAGACCACTACAGGTAATGGAAACCCTGTGGAGTGTTCCCAACCGGAAAGCTCCTTTAAGATGTCCTTCAAAAGAGAGACTAAAGTCCTGAAGACCCTGTCTGTTATCATGGGGGTGTTTGTGTGCTGCTGGTTACCTTTCTTCATCTTGAACTGCATGGTGCCCTTCTGTGGGTCAGGCGAGACCCAGCCCTTCTGCATCGATTCTATCACCTTTGATGTATTTGTGTGGTTTGGGTGGGCCAATTCCTCTTTGAACCCCATCATTTACGCCTTCAATGCTGATTTTCGGAAGGCATTTTCAACACTACTAGGATGTTACAGACTTTGCCCGACGACCAACAATGCCATAGAGACAGTCAGCATCAATAACAACGGGGCTGTGGTCTTTTCCAGCCACCATGAGCCACGTGGCTCCATTTCCAAGGACTGCAACCTGGTGTACCTGATCCCACATGCCGTGGGCACCTCAGAGGAACTGAAGAAGGAGGAGGGAGGTGGAATAGCCAAACCCTTGGAAAAGTTGTCCCCGGCCCTTTCTGTCATATTGGACTATGACACTGATGTGTCACTAGAGAAGATCCAGCCCATCACGCAGAACGGGCAGCATCCAACCTGAGCATTGCTGTCACTCATGCCGGACACGCTCAGCCCCGAAGCTAGAGGAGGCTTCTGGGGGCTTGCTGGTAAGAAACTGAGGCGACGTGAACACTGAGATGTCAGGCAAGCCCTCCTCTGCTGCTTTTTCTCAACACACTGCTACTTTCCAATACATTCCAGTGTGTTTTCTGCGTGGCTCATAGCGAATCAAGGAGGGGTCCACGGGAAGCTGATATTCACAAGAGACATGTCTTTGGCCACGACATTGTTTTTAGAAACTGATTCTAGGACTTAACAAGTAGGACAGAGAATCAACAATGAACAGCTTCACTTAAAAATTAAACCTTTCTGAGAAGGAAATGAGAAGGGTTGAGTTTTGCTGTGTACAAACAGGTGCTAACTCTGATCCGAGCAAAGTTTTCAGATTGTAAAGGTAGGTGCATGCCTTCATAAATTACTCCTAAAAAATAATTGAGCCTTACAGTAGGAAGGATTTTTTTTTCAGAATTGAGAGATGCTTTGTTAATATTGGTTTTATTTATTTATTGTATTATGTGGATATTTTTAATTATAATAAATCTATATTTATCATATTTAATAGGATAAAGTAATGTTATTTGAAAACCTTACAATCCCAGTTTTGCCCATTGATCTAGCACTTTATAAGCTAATGAAATGAATGCAGACTCTGAAGGTTCTTAATGGTCATGAATAACTTCTAGAAAGAAAGCAAAGATTGACAGGAAATGAAGTTGTGCTGATCCCTTGAGATTCATTAGCATAAATAAATACCAGGTGAGAATTGACAAAGGCTGTGAATTTTTTTTTCTAAAAAGATTTTGAAAATTTAAAAAAACATAGCTACTATTGTGTAAAAAATTTTTTAATGAGAAAGGCTCTTCGAGGAGAATGATGTACCATTCTGTAAATATCTTAAATAAAAGCCAGCTTAAAAAAGAAAGATCTAACTTTAAAGTTAGGATCCTAGGTGGTAATAAAAGTACTTTGTATTTATGTAAAATAATTGGCCCTTCTGTTTTTACTCATTACACCTGTCTGATAGCTTTTCTGAACCAAATGGCTGTCCTGCTTAGACGGGCTCAGTGAAAAACATGGGTTCCCATAGCTCTGTGTCTTAGCAGTGTGGGCAACGGACAGAGCAAACCCTGCACCTGTATCTTATCAGGTCAAGCAAGCTACTTAGTGCGGTCGCTTTTTGTAGTGCTTTAATCTGAAATTAGAAGTGATTTTTTTTAAAAAAGTCTTTAAATGTTAACGGTATACTAACTTACAAATAGTGCCTCATTATCATCCTCCCCTAAGACTCATTTCTTGGGGTATGTTAAACACCCCAAAGCCATCAGTATTTCTTTTGACAAATGCTAGCCCTTTCTCTGTGCTTTGGAATCAAGTTTTATGTCATCGCCTGGACTGTACAAAGTATCATAAACCTCCCTTGCCAGTACTAACTTGTGGGGTATTTCAAGAGAGTTTCTTTGAAATGTTTACAAAGTATTCTTGTTGACAAAGTATTGACTAAACGTTCAAATGAAATGGGTAACAAGAAGGAAATTTACTGAAAAGTATCTCCTGCATCAGGTCTGTGTTCTTTATGCATTGTGAATGTTTTCTTAATTTTATTGCCTGCGTGCTTTCTTACATATAATAAAATTATTTTGTGAACTCAAATCAACCCTGAATGAGCTGTGTTACATTTTTTAAATGCGTTTTTCCAATGAGGATATTTCAGAGAGACAAATAAGAATACATGGGCATTTTCAAGTATCTGTTAATGTTTCTTTACCTTTTTAATGGAAATTCTCCACTTCGATGTGCCACATGTACCTTTGAAGATTTAAACATTTGGGCTGTTGTTTTCCGGCTGTCCTAAAAAATGTTCTTTTGGAAAAGAAACTCTTCTTCACTTGAGGAATTACTCTATTTTCTACATACATCTAAAGCTTTTTAAAATCTCTCAGTTTTCTTTCGAAGAGCCCAGGGATTTTAAATAATATAAAAATGACAGAAAGGATGGTGGCTTGCCAGGGGAGTGTCACGGACATTCCTTGTATGGCAACCACTGCGTGCCTAGTGTTTGTTTTAAGAGTAAAATATAACAGGACTATTTATCCTGGAGAAAATATTCAGGTTGTGATTCTGAGCTTCCTAAAACATCTTACAGGACACACGTGTTGCTCTTGTTAAACCTGCTGATCTTACTCCCCACACCCATCCTTTTCATCTCAAAGGAGGTGCATGACTGAGCAGCAGGTGATGTAGAACGGGAGGGTTAAGTTTTTTTTTTTTTTTTAAAGATTTATTTATTTATTCGTACAGAACTGGGGTACAGGCCAGAGATGCGGAGGGTGAGAGGATTCACCAGAGACAGAGTGGGGAGCAGAACAGGCAGATGGACGAAGCACACTGCTGAGGGGAGGAGCAGCGGGCGGATTAGGAGAGGTCTGCCACACCATGTGGTCACCTCCGGGGCAGGCAGGGATCGAACTCATGTGGAAATGGCATAAGCTTCTTAGTGCTGTGCTTTAACTCGCTGCGCCACCAGGGAGGGCTTAAGGGAGGGTTAAGTTTATAATTTGGAACATCACACAACAGATGGTCTCTTTCTCAATTCCATATTTGCCTTCCCAAGGCTTTGGCATGTAATGAACATATCAAGGCTGAAGGCACGTCAAGCAAAGCGCCTTTTCTTTTGCTTCCTGAGTTTCTGGGGACCTTTATTCTTTGCAGTTTCATTTCATTCTTCCATTAAAAGTCCAGCAACACCAGGTGTGATGCTCAGGATTGTCCTTGTCCAGCCAAGGCACCAACACCTTTGCCGTTTATTTCAGTGGCAAAGAGTGAAAAAATAAATGATGTGTCTAGAACCCGTATGAAACAACTAAAATCCAGCACGCCAGAGAAGACTTTATTTTTGGTTCCTGAAATGTTGTGTTCATAAAGGGTATTTTATGAAATGTCAATTTTACTGAAAGAATGTTTCAAAGAATTTAATTTACAACCTAAAAGCAAAGTTACAATATGATTTTCATTTCACTTTCAGCTATAATGATAAGCTTTAAGAATGCTGAGTATTTGTGAGATGCGTTACCAAGGTAGATTTAAAAAAGGTGTTTTTTCCTCCTTTCCACCAAAGAAGATGCCTTTCCTGGTCAAATAGATGTAGGGCTCTTTTGGGTGGTGGAATAACAGGAAGTTTTCTGGAAGGTGCTGGGCTTGGGGTGGGGGCGGGTGGGTAAGACTGGGGATTATTTGGGAAAGTCACTTGGTTTCTCTTGGGAACTGAATAAAGCATGGTTTCCGAATCTCATTTGTCCTGCTCCACTAAATGGAGGAGCAAAACTTCTGTAAGAATTTCTTCCGTGGCGGGGTCACTCCCAAAAGCGAATTAATATATAGGATCGCTCCCCCCCACCCCCCCTCCCGGACTATCTGAACTCTCCACTCCTTGATGCTCCCCATGACTCTCCTCCTGTACCAGTAGCAGCATTTCAACTTGGCCCTTCTGCCCCAATGGGCTAGTCCACCTTGGGGCCCTGGAATACTGAAAGCAAAGGCTCTGTGTCCTACAGACATGGATTCACATGCAGCTCCTGACGTGCTGTGTGTAGGTGCACACATATATGTTCCTCTCTGAGCCCGTTTGCTCATTTGTGAAATGCAAATGAATGTTCTGCAAGGGAGTTACATGACACTAATGTCTATAAAAGTACTGACCCCGGAGATGCTGGGCTTTCTGATTTTTCATAGATGTCTTCTTGAAAGGAGTAGTGTTGCATGGGGCAACACCATACTGACCAAAGAAATGGGAGTCGTGGAGCATGCTACATAATGCAGGATATTGCCGAAGAGCAAGATCCTGGCCTTTTTATTGGTAGACTAATCATATAGCATTAATTATTGAGGAAGTGAAAAAGAAAGGGAGAATTAGAAGAAGCTGGGCAAAAGGTGGAACTGTGCATCTGCTGATAGTTTGGTATGTTGAACTCTCCCGGTCAGGATTTCAGTCTTATCAATAAGGCATTCCACTGATCGGCTTCTGGGGTCCTTTGTTATACATTATTCAATGGCCCACCGGTGTCCCCAGTCATATCTCAAGATGTATAAGTCAGGAGTAAGTTATGCATCCGTCCTCAGCCCCCCGGGTATTCCTGGTCATACCTCGCAATGCATACCCTTCCCAGGGTGATCTAGCTTTATGCTTTTAATCTATGTGAAAGGTGTCTCAAAGTGTTGGGCTCTTAGAATGGAGGCTGGGTAAGCCACCTAGGTTAGCAGACCCCCAGAGTAGGTGATCTAGTGTTTATTACATTAGTAATAATGGAGCAGATATACATTTGACTTCTTGCAAGGAAGGGACTTTTTAAGTACATGTGCCTTGGGGTTATCCCAGACTCCAGTCTCTTCTGTTGTACTTATCTGGTGTTCCAGAAGCAAGTAGCTTTTTACATCTGCTTGGTTAAAACAACTGCTTAATTTACCACGAGATAGCAATACATAGGACTGACTATAATATTTTATATTATGCACTCTCTTGCAAAATTTGCTTTAGAAATAATGAGTTGATGGCCAGCTAGCCCTGGGCTTTTAAAACCTGCTGCTTTGCATGATTTGGTTATTGTCATTTGAAGGAACTAACAGTGGATCATGTGGCTATTGGTATTCTATATCAGAGATACTCTATGTATTTCTTAAAGATTTCCTGGATACAAACATGCCTTATTAGCCTGTTTATTTGCATAGAGGGTTGAGAGCATGAAGAGAACAGGAGTGAGAACCCTCTAAGATTTTGCTACAAGATTAATCTGCTCTTGCTGCTGTCTGTCACACTAAATTTTTCCCCGGTAATATACAGAATTAAAAAAAGCAATATTTGAATTTGAGTCAGTTACATCAGTCAAGATTTTGGAGTTGTAATTTACATAGTATTAGAGGCCCAAGATTAATCTCCTGATTTCACAGGATTTAACTTTTTAATCACCTTGAGAAATGAAAAAAATC